TTTGTCGGCGGTTTCGCAAAACCTGTCGGCGAGTGAAAAATCGGGCTAAAATCGTGCAGTGTGAACTCGGCATTAAGGTCTTTGCACACAAAATTCCAATAGTCCAAAATTCTCGTCCGAAATTTTCGCACATTCAAAAATAAATACGACCTCACATTGTGTCAATCACGTTTACACACTGACACTGCCTCCGAAACTTTCGTCTGTCATAAAAAAAAAATCGGATCAGGTTCGATTTTCTGTGTTTTCACATCCATAGCAAGCATTTTGATAGGAAAGGATGACGAATCTGAGAAAAAAAAGAAAGAAAAACTCATACGAAAATTTCAGACTCAGTGTGCAGTAGACTTGTGCCGGTATTCGGTAATGCGATATATGATAAAAGCATTAGCAATTAATCGCAAAATAAAAATTTGATACCGGCATATCCCTAGTGTGCAGTGACCTTTAGACTTTAATAGAAGTGCTACATGGATGACATATTTTTGTTGGGAAAAACCTGGAAATTAATTAGCATTTTAACACTTCCAGTTCTATCCCCTTAAGTCTATGGGTGTTTTGGTTAAATGCCTGTAATAAGGACTGTAGTTACACAAGCTTAAGATATTTTCATGTTTTATTCTATAACATAAAATACATCAGCAATACACCCTTTTGATTTATTTATTTTTTTTTTAAGCTTTGACTTGTTTTGTCTTAAAAAAGTGATTGCTAACATGTGGCTAAAATGGAAATATAAAGAGGTTGTCTGGGCATTAAACATCATCATTCCTTCAGAATTAATACATGTTGTGTTCACTTGTGAAGATGATGAACAAAATGTGTAAGGATCATAACTTTTTTTGTTCATCTAAGAGCTAATTTTCTGCAATAATACAAAAGCCAATAGATCAATCCTATTGGGTTTTTGTTGAGGGAACCAGGGTGATGCGAACTGCCGGGTTAGCCTACAAATATATGTCATCACTGAAGCACTCTATTCAAGTGCTAATTTGAGTTAACATCGCAAATGGGATGAGGAATTGTGATTTATATTTGAATTTACAGCTTAAGTGTGTTATTTTTTACGTTAGTAGTGGCACCAAATGGCACTGCAAAAATGTTTGTTTTCAAAAAGTTTTTTTTTTTAGATACAGACCCCTTGTTCAAATACCCACACTTGCGGTCTTGGCCACTTGTGCGCGCGTGACAGGAAGTAAGTGTGCAAGTCTGTCCCATGTCTTCAAAATGACAAAGTGCAGTGCCCTTAACGCACACTAAACCCACACTATCTCGAATACCGCTCAGGAGCGCTATTCGAGGCTTAGTGTATCCCATCATGCATCATGTTCTGGAAATAAATCTTGAGACTTTTTGCCGAGATCTCGCGAGAGGTCATGGAAACCTTTCCAATGTAAGTTAAATATTAATATAATAATTAGATATTACAAATAATTTGGTAGAAAAACAGTGTTTTTACGTTTTATTGATGCAAAGATGAGTAGTGGTGATATTTATTTTGTACAACATTTGCAACTGCTTTTTATCACTTAATTAGAAGCACCACAAATTAAAATTGTCATGTTATAGGGACTACTGAACAGACATTTAGAAGTTGATTTTTAAAATGCAAAGTATTTCAAATTCAAATTAATTTGCATTTTTACAACACTACAAGTGTGTCCCATCAGGTAATGAAAAGTTCGACACACACTTGTGGTCTTCACACCCACTTGAAGACTTCGGCCAAATACAGGAAATACGTCATTTAAGTAATCAAGTGGTCAAGTGCAAAGAGTGCAAGTGTGGGTATTTGGACAAAGCCCCAGTGTATCTCAATCAACAGAGTCACAGTGTTCTTACTTCTTGTCTTATATACGGCTTATTTATAGTTTCCTTGGAGTCTGCATAATACGATGGGAAATAAGAAGATATTAGATTTTTTTCCGTATGTATATTAACCATAACATTTACATTATTCATTTAGTAGGAACTTTTTTTTTCTCCCCCAAAGCGACTTACAAATGAGATATTATCACACACATATGGGGACTTCATAAAAATTACATCAAGTCAAGTATCAACTGCCACCTGTGAAAATCTGTAGGCTATTTATACCTCAAATCTGCTATCATTTTATAGACCACCGTATTATATTTTCACACTGACTCTCCAAATTAACTGAAAACAACTTAAAGCACTACTAAAAAATGCAATCTCTGCTTAATACACGCAGGGTCAGCTTGTATTTACTTCACCTTGACCTGGACCACCGTCGACGGGAAATATATTGGGTTCAATGTCCCTCAATGACTGGCGCCCTTCAAGTCTGCTTACCAACTACAAAAGCAAAAACACTGATGTTTACTGCAAGCAAGGTATAGCAAGTGGCATGCCAGTACTATCAATTGTACGATTCCATTTAAGCATAATGCAGAAATGCCCGAACCTCAGTTTGAGCTTCCGTCGACTAAGATTTAGTTAAACACTTTAATGATCATCTGAATGAACCAATTTTAATGTAAATCGACAGGAACCGTCCATTCCATTTAGTGGGTCATAATGCAAGCATACGTTTAAATGTATCAAGTAATTGTATGTTTACGTAAAGCTTTAATGTGAACGCTTTAACTGATTTGTCAGATATACCTGTGCACCATTCTCAGCCATTCTAACTCGTGCTGTCATTTCGTTGATTTTCGCGCAATCATTTCGGAATTCCATTTCCTGGTAAATAAGCGTTCGACGACACTTCAAAACAAAAGTCCCACGGTGTCTAACAGTAACAAGAACACACAAGAAACCACAACAACACATGTATTTACATTTTAACATTTTATTTGAGATAAAACATTTTATCTTATATTTACCGTATTTTATAGAATATGATATCATTTATTTAAAGACGGAGATGTGTAGGATTTGCAATTGGTCTTTCACTTTTCACATTTCTTCTGGAAGTTAATGTTAAATGCCAATTATATTTGCCACTTATTTATATAAAAGAGATTAATAGTTGTAAAAAAACGCAATTACTTTACTAATTACACCAGGCTCGTTCTAAGACTATAACATTTGATTTCATATTACATATTACCAGTGTTGGGCAAAGTTACTTTTCAAAGTAATGCATTACAATATTGCGTTACTCCATAAAAAGTAACTAATCACGTTACTTAGTTACTTTTTATAGAAAGTAACGTAACTCGCGTTACTTGTAATGCGTTACCCCCAACACTGCATATTACTTCATAGTATTCTATTCTGTTCTTAGTAATTAGTGTTTTTAAACAGATCATACGTGTTTTGTTTTGATGAAGACACAAAATCGTCTGCAACAGCAGACACATATAGTTATAATATAATATACTGTTTGTACAATATTTATAACATCATATTAATATTATAAATATGACAATTATTTAATTAACTGAAATGGAATTTAAGTAGGGTGAAGTCAGCTAAAATGGGCCACGTTTTGGTAAAATGACTTATAATACCATCAAATAAGCTATGCGTGAGATCTAATGATATATTTTTGTATAAATTAGCATGGGTCTCTTTAATATGTATATATTTTTTTAAATGACAAAAAGTATAATTGTTTTAAAATTATGAGAGTTAGAGTATCAGCAGGTACCTTCTTGAGCCACGGCACAACATTCAGGTAAAATGGGCCAATATAAAAAGAGAACAACACAGGTCATTTCGGCTGAAATAATTTTATTTTTAACAGTAAATTGACACTATTTGAATGGTATAGTGTATAATGTTACAAAAGCTTTTTGTAAAGCTTTACGTATTTTTTTTTAGATCAAAAAAATGCTGATCTTTGGACCTTTCTATTCATCAAAGAATCCTGAAAAAATGTACTCAACTGAATAAAAAAAGTTTCTTGAACAGTAAATCAGAATATTAGAATTATTTCTTAAGAAGCATGTGACTAGAGTAATGATGCTGAAAATGTAGCTTTGATCACAGGAATAAATTACATTTTAAAATGTATTCAAATAGAAGTGTGCCATAGCAACAGCACCATATGCATTTCATTAAATAGAAAGTTGACTGAATATTTCATTAAACAATGCAATTAAAAATGAACTGATCATGTTGTATAGATGTGTGTTTCTGTGCATTGGTGTCTTTTGTGTGCATGTACACTACCACTCAAAAGTTTTTGAACAGTAAGATTTTTTATGTTTTTTTTTTTTTTTTTTAAAGAAGTCCCTTCTGCTCACCAAGCCTGCATTTATTTGATTCAAAGTGCAGCAAAAACAGTAAAATTTTGAAATATTTTTACTATTTAATATCGACTCCAAGCTTTTGAATGGTATAGTGTATAATGTTACAAAAGCTTTTTGTAAAGCTTTACGTATTTTTTTTTAGATCAAAAAAATGCTGATCTTTGGACCTTTCTATTCATCAAAGAATCCTGAAAAAATGTACTCAACTGAATAAAAAAAGTTTCTTGAACAGTAAATCAGAATATTAGAATTATTTCTTAAGAAGCATGTGACTAGAGTAATGATGCTGAAAATGTAGCTTTGATCACAGGAATAAATTACATTTTAAAATGTATTCAAATAGAAAAGTTATTTTAAATAGCAAAAATATTTCAACATTTAAAAAAACTAAAAATCTCACTGTTCAAAAACTTTTGACAGGTAGTTTATGTGTGTATGTAAATTTTGTATGCACACATATCTAGGCCTATAAACCTATTTTCACCCTCAATTTCTGTGTAAAAATGTGTGTGTGTATGCAGCCCATTTTAGCTGAAAAGTGTGGCCCATTTTAGCTTAACCAGCCATTTCTACCTAACATGATGTTTTTCACAAAAACCGAAGTTTCTTTTTTAAATTAAACTTTTTTACTTGAAAGAGCATGTCAAAACATTGTTCATAAACCTTTGCTTTGTTGGTAAGCATATGTATAATTGCTTTAGTACCCTTATTGGTGATTAAAGAAATTTACTATGTCAGGCTCACTTACATTACAATTGTCAAATGTCAACAAGTGTTGAAGCAACAATGCAAGACCAGTTATTGTGACTGACTATAAATATTTTAAGAGATATGACGCTACAACCTTATTTGGCCCATTTTACCCGATAGCCCATTTTAGCTGACTTCACCCACAAATGTATTGATATGGTCTTTTTATAAAAACTTTAATTTCTGACACTAGTCTAAAGCAGTGGTTCCCAACTCTGGTCCTTGAGGCACCCCAACACTGCACATTCTGCATGTTTCCTTAATCAAACACACCTGATTCAGGTCATCAGCTCATTAGTAGAGACTCCAAGACCTGAAATTGGTGTGTCAGAGAAAGGAGACATGCGAAATGTGCAGTGTTGGGGTGCCTCCAGGACCAGGGTTGGGAACCACTGGTCTAAAGAACACACAGTGGGCAATAATTTAAAATGTTTTGAAAGTGAAACATAAAATTATTTACTAAAAAAACAATTGCTCATAATATCATGAAATAATACAAAAAAAACAACAACAACAACTGTGAGAATAACAAGGCATCATCACTTCAATACACTACAGAGGGACTACAAATTTATAACTCATTCTAAATAAATTATATAGGCTAATGTAAAATTAGGACCGACTGCCATAGAGTTTATCCTATAAAGGGCATAAAAAGGGACTTCGTTATAATTCGATTTCAACTTGCTTATGTATATGTATAATGTATCTATGTATGTGTGTGTTTATTTAACATACAATATTGCCAAATCAACAATACACACAATAAAAAGTGAAATAAATAAATACTGCCAATAATCTTAAGAATCTAAATAATAGTAATAATAATCATCATCATCATCATTGTCATCAATACAGCCCCAATCCCCAAATTTTCCAACGTTCATTGATAACGTATTTCATTAACCAAGAGATATAGCCTACTTCCATTGTTTTGATACCTGTATTTCATTACCCCGAACAATCAGAGTTAGTGAGTTATTTCCAAATCGATTCGCCATATAATCTTGGACCAAATTAACACAAATTTACAGATCTAGGTACGTCTGCCATTAAAGCTGAATCGTAAGTAAGAGGTTAAGACAGTAAACAGTGATAATGCGCCACGCGCTCTGCGGTCTGCAGGCACTTTTGCCCAACTCATGAAATTACGGAGCCTACTATGGCAATTGTTTAAGTCATAAATATTAATTATGCAATGTTGACGTTCCTGTAATCTTCGGTGGCGAATAAGTGGTGGCGAAGGCTTGGCTCATGGTTATTAACTATATCATGACGTCTCTTCGGTTACCTTCATGTAGCGAAGACTTGGCTTATGAATATTAATAAACTCGCCTTCTTGCCTTTACCATAGTGGGATTCGTAATTTCGCTGTCAACCCTCCTGTGGACCGTGATGAGGCAGCGCGAGTGGATCCAGCATGTTTCTATTTTTTGCCTTCCCTTTGACTCGGGAAGTAGTCGCGCAAAATAACGGTGCAAGCCATAATCAAGGGATAATACATACCGCAATAAAGGTAAACCTGACAACCCTGTAAACGGCACATAGGTTCTGTGTAGATGACGTCGTTAATGTTGTGTCATGCGGATGTGTTTGTGTGTTTGTGTCCAGTGCTGGTGATGGCAGTGCGGCCCCCTCCGTGCGTGATAGACTGTGGGACAGGGTGAGTTTGTTTACACGTGTATAATCCTCCAGTTTCATTTGAAGCTTTGCAATCAATTTGACAAATCTTTAAGCCTGCTGTTGCAGACTATAACTTGATTAAATGCTTGCCTCAGTATCATTATGCGTATATGATCCCAATGAAAGCATGTATTTTAGGTAGAAAATATACTGAATTACTATAGGCTGCTATTCCCAAACATTGTTAAAAATGCTTCTAATCTGTTATGATTAGGGCCAGGTGCATGAATCCACAAATATGGATGAGGGATATATGAATTGGGATGTGGGTTGTATATGCCCTACATGCATATTTTTGTATCTGTTCTTAGCTGATGAATTCAGTCCTGTAACACTAGTAAAAACTAATTTAGAAGTAACAGTCTTGATTATGTAAACATCTAGTCAGTATCTGCACATGAAAAAGTAAGAGAGTGTATAGGAAGCAATATGCATGTTATGGGTTTTGGTATGATTTATGTTTTCATCTAAACTATGTTGGTCTTGATTTACTTGGCTGCCATGTTGAGACATTAATCAGGTGTGTTATAGCTATATAATAAACTACCACAGCTGTTGCTTGATGAATGGAAAGACCGTGTACTCACTGGAAATACTGATTGAAAAATTATAAACAAATAGACTGAACCACAGTCATTCTGATTCATTCATCTCATTCATGATGATGATATACTGTTCTTTCGTCCTCAGGTACACCAAGATTGGTTATGCAGGAAACACGGAGCCCCAGTTCATCATGCCATCCTGTGAGCTGCCTGACAGTTTTAGTTGTTAAATGCGCAGCGGGGCAGATCAGTGAAGACTAGTACTGCATGTCCAGCACTCAGATCCAGGATATAATATTTGGATCACGAATTTAATTAAACTCTGCCTTAGGGAACCACTATTTAAAGCTGTTATTCACCACTGCTGTAACCTCAATATACCGTAGGCTCTGAGCCTGTTAACAACACACATCCTTTCATAGCACTTATTGATTGTAATGTTTTTGTCAATGGATACTGTTAAATATTCAAATTTGTGTTAAGCATATTTTATACGAATGTGCTTTTTGACTTCACAGTGCTACAATAGTCAACTGATTGTAGCATTGTCGATTTTAGGTATTGCGATCAGAGAGACAGCCAGTGTTGGAGATCAGGCACAGAGACGTCTCATGAAAGGGGTGGATGACCTCGATTTCTTCATTGGAGATGAAGCCATTGATAAGCCCAACTATGCAACCAAGGTAATCATTTCTTTAAGCAAATACAATGTTTATTGTATCAGTCTGTTGTTTTAGGCATTTAGACGACACTGTACAGTCTACCTCAGGATGTTTATAAGCAGATTTGTTGTATGCAATCACAAAAGGAAGTACTAATGCTGACCTATTGTACATACAGTACTTGAAGATCCAAGAGGGCATCTAAATGCTAGTGTACTTCTAAAACAGCCTTTTTTGAGTATAATAATAATAATAATAATTCCTTACATTTATATAGCGCTTTTCTGGGCACTCAAAGCGCTTTACATAGAAGGGGGAATCTCCTCAACCACCACCAGTGTGCAGCATCCACCTGGATGATGCGACGGCAGCCATATTGCGCCAGAACGCCCACCACACACCAGCTTATTGGTGGAGAGGAGACAGAGTGATGAAACCAATCAGCAGATATGGGAATGGTTAGGAGGCCATGATGGTCAGAGGCCAATGGGCGAATTTGGCCAGGATGCCGGGGTTACACCCCTACTCTTTTTCGAAAGGCATCCTGGGATTTTTAATGACCACAGAGAGTCAGGACCTCGGTTTAGGATAGGCACAAAAGAAACCATTGCTCAGCTTGCAGTCAGTGTGATAAAAGGTTTAGTGATAGAGCTTTTTAAAATCATGTTTGATGAGAATGTGACACTGTCAACCAAAAAAATTTTATAAATAAATACTAGCAGCAGAGTTTGGCAGTCCCTTGTGAAAAAGTCAAGTCACCTTTATTTATATAGTGTTTTATACAATACAGATGGTTTAAAAGCAGTTTAACAGTAATAAACAGAAAAATATCAGAATCAGTGAAGCAAACTTAATCAAATATGAGACAAATCCAAATGAATATTGCATAACACACTACAGCTAAAATGTGCTTTAGTATGTTAGTCAAAATGTCAAAATAAGTATTCTTATTTAAAGCACGACAAAATATTATGAAAATATAATGATTTAAAGTGTGTTTTAAAGTAAAACTTTTAATTTTAAAAGTGTACTTAATAACGTACTTAAAGGTGCAATAGGTGATTGTCTTCAGAAACATTTTTTGTTATGCTGGTTGAAAGTCTCTTCACATCCCGATAGCAATCATTAAGTTAAGTGGTCTAAATGTATTTATCTGTATTTATATATTCTGTGGAAGGCGTAGGACCAAGAAATGTTCGTCCAATCAAAACGCTCCGAGCGTTTTAATTGGCTTTCCTACCTGCCTGTCAACGTATGTATTAGCATACCTCTGCGCACCCTGTTCGCGCAGACAGGATACGTCATCAGCGAGTTCACGCACACTGTGCAGACAGAGCGAGAATGGCAGGCAAACATCAACAACCCAATCTTCCTTCATGGTATTGTAGTACTTTTACTAACTGAACTATAAAGTTTTCTCACCGGTGAATGACACATGATGTAGCCCAGCGGTTCCCAATTCCAGAGGGTGGGACGTCCGCTTTCAGTGCTATCAGGCTAAAGTTAGCATTTTCCAAGATCTCCTACTGCACCTTTAACAGTCATGAAAATTTACTCTTTTTTAAGTTTACTTAAGTGGCCTTTTATTTCATTAATATATTATCTGCATGTACCCTTTTGTAACATTATACTTGAGATATGAAGTACACTACAAGTGCACATTCAATACAATTAAGCACACTTCTTTTTCTCAAGGGGTGGTAGCATCATACTGTTGGGTTGCCTTTCATCATTAGGGACAGACCATCTTTTTTTACATCTGAAAGAAGAATAGATGATGTACTGTAAACTACATGAAGATTCTGCAAGGGAACATGTTTCAAAAAATGAAGCCATAAAGGCAGTTTGTTTTTGGAGAACAAAGACCAAAAGGCCAAAAGAACATTTGAAAAATAACACTTAAATGTGTGCATATGTCTCACACTTACCAAAATATACATTTTACCACCTGATGATATCATATTTCATAACGGTTCTGTATTATTGTGTTTCATAACTGTTTGATGAAAGTATTTTTCCTGTCTTTGTCTTGTTCTTATTTTGCTGTTTTTATCTTTTTTGAAATATACAGTCCTTTCTGAGATTCCTGATGAAAAGTTTGTGTTGTCGAGAGACAACAGACAATGTTAACTAAGACAAGAGTAATGAGGAATTCATGTAATGGTCTTTTTCTCTATACACATTAGTGGCCCATCAGACATGGTATTGTTGAGGATTGGGACCTCATGGAGAAGTTCATGGAACAGGTCATATTTAAATATCTCAGAGCTGAACCAGAGGACCACAACTTTTTGATGGTATGTCGACTGTACATTAAAGACCTTAAAGATGACATTATGGAGTGTTTGGCACAGTAATTTAAAGAGATTTGTGAAACATCTTCTTCCCACTGAGAAACAGAGGAAGCCCATACATAATTGAAGCTACCATTGAAATATTTATTGTTTGCATAATGATAGATTATGCTGCTTTGTATGTACCAGAGTGCAACAGGGTTTTTAGTCACAAACAAGATGTTTCCAGTGTGTCTACTGCATGTGTGCCTTTGTTTTGCTGCTCCATTTGACGAAGACAAAACACCCTTTATATGCGCCTGATATTTTACATTTCAAAAGAGCACATTTCATTTATTCAACAGACCTTTTGTGTCTGTTTATCCTGATGTTGCAGTGCTATATTTTCTCTTCAGACAGAACCTCCTCTAAATACCCCAGAGAACCGGGAATACTTAGCTGAGATCATGTTTGAAACGTTCAGCGTCCCAGGACTATATATTGCTGTTCAGGTAAACCTTTACGTTTAAATATGTCAACTCAGTTACAAAGATGCCATAAACAAAGAAACATAGAAAACTATGTTTGAAAGATCAATAATGTATATAATATATATTAGCCTGTCAATTAATTAGCTTTTCAATTTAAACCTCCTATCGTGTTGTTGGTAAATTAGATCCACACTCTGTTTAAACAGTATTTCATGTAATTTAAAAATAATTTAATTATTTTTGAAATTTCTTGACTTTTCTAATTTAGGGTTATGAATTACATTCATTTTGACAAATAGATGCTTTTTAAACAAGCTGTACAAATTTTGGTTACATCGATTGTGTTGGGGTCAAATTGATCTCTGACACTGGTTTCCATGCAATTCACAAAAAGTCAGGTAAAATACAGAAAACCTTTATTGTAGCTTGTCAAAGATTAAAATAGAAAAATACATGAATACCTATGAAATTTACTCAAAGTGTACCTGAAATTGAAAACTGTTTTTTTTAATCATCTGAGGAGAATTTGCTGTTTCTTCATCTATTTGAGTTTCACATTAAAAAAAGTATGTGAAATTATGTCTTTGGTTGTTAGTTTCTATTTCAAATACTAGTCGGTTGCAGCACAGAAAATAAGTGTGAGAAACCCATTTTACCATTGATAGCTGGCATAAAAAATCAGAGGCTATTTACACTAAGTACAAATAATGTTAATGTCACTGTTTATACTTAGTTATAGTTATTTGCACCTTAGTTATAAAATAGTCACAGGTAGTCATTGCATTAAAAAATATTTAATTCAATTCAAGTTTATTTGTATAGCGCTTTTCACGATACAAATCGTTGCAAAGCAGCTTTACAGA